ATCCTACGAGGACTTTTAGCAGGACAGTAAAGGTTGCCAGCACCCCTCCCCAAAAGCAGCCTTCGATGGGCTCCTAGAAGGCCTTAGGGTCTCAGAATACAGAGCCTGGGTTACCAAGCCCAGTGGGCGGATATGGAAACAGCGGTGACAGAGAGGCACTGCGGGCCTGGGAAGGGTGGGGAACCCATAGCCTTCACCATCTCCCCACTCACCCATCTGCTGGGCCAGGAGGAGCCTTCTGCCCCATGGACCTGCTGAAGTCTCAGCCAGAATCCCTTGGCCATGTGGGGGGTGGGCCCAGGATGTGGGATCAAGTGCCAGGGAATGAATAATTCCTGCCCCGGCCCTTCCCGGGTTACCGGAGCTGGCTTATCTGGTGACAGGTGTTGACTGCACAGAGCCATGATGGGGCAGGATGGAACCCAGGTCCAGGTCCAGCTTGATTCCTATGCCAAGGCTGAGCTTGAGCCTCTCCTTTGTCCTTTACGTTTACCTAGCAGGCCTCACACAGCCAGGCTTCCGATGAGGAGACTGAGGTTAACAGACTGTCAGCAACCTGGCCAGGGCCCCACAGTGCCACACAGGCCTCAGTGACATGAGGCTACCCAGGCATGATTTGCTATAGCCTCCCTGTCATCTCATGAAAACCTAGACCTGCTCTGGGCCAAGGGGCAGCCCACAGGTTCTCTCCTCCATCCCTCACTGAAAAGGAGGTCGGGGAGAGACCCAGAGAGGTAGCCCAGCCCGCTTAGCAATGCACAGCAACATCAAGCTGGCCGTCACTCACCCGGCAGACAGACATCTGATTGGTGGTGAGCGTGCCCGTCTTGTCGGAGCAGATGACCGAGGTGCAGCCCAGGGTCTCCACGGAGGGCAGGCTTCTCACAATGGCATTCTTGCGTGCCATGCGCCTCGTGCCCAGTGCCAGGCACGTAGTGATGACGGCCGGGAGGCCCTCGGGGATGGCCGCCACAGCCAGGGCCACGGCGATCTTGAAGTAGTAGACAGCGCCGCGCAGCCAGGAGCCACCATGGGCCGGGTCGGCGAAGTGTCCGATGTTGATGACCCACACGGCCACGCAGATCACAGAGATGGCATGGGACAGCTGCCGCCCAAACTCATCCAGCTTGCGCTGCAGCGGCGTCCGCTCGGGCTCCACCGCCGCCATCTGGCTCCGGATCTTGCCCAGCTCCGTGTGCAGGCCGGTGGCCACGGCCACACCCACTGCTTTGCCCGAGGCGATATTGGTGCCCTGGCCGAGGGAAAGACAAGGAAAAAGCTGCTCAGCAGCCAAGCCAGACCCCTGACTCCTTCAAGCCGGAGTAAGGCACTTCTCCTTCTACCCGGCTTTCCATTTCTCCATGTTGCTAGTGCGTCCAGACTTCTGTCGCTAGGTATGCGTTGGTTCCCTGCTGCCTTTCCATGATAGTGTCAGCTCTAGGAAGGCAGGGATTGGGTTCATCGCCGTATCCCCAGTGCCTAGCATGGGGCCGGGCACAGAGGAGGCACGGGGGCTGATACCGATAATATAATGGACCAGCGCAGCACAAGCATCCGTCCCGCAAAATGTGATTCATAAACAGCCACTATAGCCACACAGGAGCACAGCCGACTACGAACTCAATAAACAGCCCATTAATATTTACTGAAAAATCCACAAAACCTGAGCCTAAGCTCATCCATTTCCAAGGCTCCAGTAAAATCCTCAATTCCTAGCATAAGGGACAGCCAGCCTTGCGGCTTGGTGTCCTCTTCTGTAAAGTGATCCAGCAGAGGCCCCAGATAGTTTTTCGGAGGAGGCTGAGAACTCGGTACCCCTTCAAAAGCGTGTGCTATTGAGGCTGGTGAGAGGGCAGGCCCCAGCCTCTCTTCTTTTTTTTTGAGACGGAGTCTCGCTCTGTCACCCAGGCTGGAGTGCAGTGGCCAGATCTCAGCTCACTGCAAGCTCCACCTCCCGGGTTCACGCCATTCTCCTGCCTCAGCCTCCCGAGCTCTCTTCTGTCTTAAGCGATGCAGCTCTAGTCCCCAACATGCAGGGCCCAGCCAGACAACCTTCCTCCAAAGCTTCTTTTTATTATTACTTTAGAAAAACTTTTTTGTTTAATTTTGAATTTTAGTAGAAATGAGGTCTCACTATGTTGCTCAGGCTAGTCTCAAACTCCTGAGCTCAAGTGATCCTCCTGCCTTGGCCTCCCAAAGGGCTAGGATGATAGGCATGAGTTACCAGGCCCGGCCCCTCCAAAGCTTCTTAGTGACAGCTGCTGATACTGGAGCAATGGCTGTCACCATTGCTCCCCATGCCAAGGCAAGTGCCAGGGAATAGAAGCCTGTCCAAGGCTTCCATGCAGCTAGGTAGGCCCCTCTCAAGAAGAGTTCTGGGCTGGGCGTGGTGGCTCACACCTGTAATCCCAGCACTTTGGGAGGCCAAGGCGAGTGGATCACCTGAGGTCAGGAGTTAGGGACCAGCCAGGCCAACATGGCGAAACCCTGTCTCTACTAAAACACAAACATTAGCTAGGCATGGTGGCATGTGCTTGTAATCCCAGCTGCTTGGGATGCTGAGGCAGGAGAATGGCTTGAACCCGGGAGGCAGAGGTTGCAGTGAGCCGAGATTGTGCCACTGCACTCCAGCCTGGGCGACAGAGCGAGACTCTGTCTCAAAAAAAAAAAAAAATTGGCCGGGCACGGTGGCTCACGCCTGTAATCCCAGAACTTTGGGAGGCTGAGGCAGGCGGATCACAAGGTCAGAAAATCGAGACCATCCTGGCTAACACGGTGAAACCCCGTCTCTACTAAAAATACAAAAAAATTAGCCGGGCGTGGTGGCGGGTGCCTGTAGTCCCAGCTACTTGGGAGGCTGAGGCAGGAGAATGGCGTGAACCCGGGAGGCGGAGCTTACAGTGAGCGGAGATCGCGCCACTGCCCTCCAGCCTGGACAACACAGCAAGACTCCATCTCAAAAAAAAAGTTATGAGTGAGTTTCACTTTCTTCATTCCTCTTCCCTCAGGAAGTTTTCTATCCCCTTATAACTTGTGGCCTGGGCCATTGTCTGACTGGCCTGACCCTTCCTTGTGGCCCCAAATGCTCCTTGCTGGCCTCAGGCTATTGCTGGGCAGCTGTGAGTATTACTTGCTAACTTTCTCTGAGGCCACGGAGGCAGGTCGCTTCCCCGAAAGCTGAACCCATCGCTCTCCCTGAGAAGAGCCGGGCATCATGCCTTGTGGGTCAGTTTTCCTATCGGAGAATGGACTATGCCCACCATCCTCCACCACTTTGGCAGACCTCTTTCCACTAGAGCATTTCTATTGAGTGATTCCAGGAGGTCTCTGCCCCTCTCCAGGAGAAGGCAAGGTCTCCCAGCAGAAATCCAGGATGTCGGAGTTTGTCCCAGCTCTGCCACTCACTGGCTGTGTGACCTTCAGCAACTTACTTAATCTCTCTGTGCTTGTTTCCTTGCTGGAAAATATTGATAACAAGCATAACAAGAGTACTTATTTCAAAGATTTGGTGTAAAGATTAAATAAGCTAATATGTGTAAAGGGCTTAGAACAGTGCCAGGCACACAGCTCCCAGTAAACATGAGCTATTATTACTATAAATTTGCATGTATTGTCAAGAATTGATGAGGTTCTTCCCCATAGGACTTTAGTTGATTAATCTTAATGTTGGGCCGGGTGCAGTGGCTCATGCCTATAATCCTAGCACTTTGGGAGGCCAAGGCGGGCGGACCACTTGAGGTCAGGAGTTTGAGACCAGCCTGGTGAACATGGTGAAACCCTGTTGCTACTAAAAATACAAAAATTAGCCAGGTGTGGTGGCAGGTGCCTGTAGTCCCAGCTACTTGGGAAGCTGAGGCACAAGAGTAGCTTGAACCTGGGGGTGGGGGTTGCAGTGACCCGAGATTGTACCACTGCATTCCAGCCTGGGCAACAGGGCCAGAAAAAACAAATCTTTTTTTTTTTTTTGAGACAGAGTTTTTGCTCTTGTCACCCAGGCTGGAGTACAATGGCGTGATCTTGGCTCACCGCAACCTCCACCTCCCGGGTTCAAGCGATTCTCCTGCCTCAGCCTCCCAAGTTGCTGGGATTACAGGCACGCATCACCACACCCAGCTAACTTTTTGTATTTTTAGTAGAGACAGGGCTTCGCCATGTTGGCCAGGCTGGTCTCGAACTCCTGACCTCAAGTGATCCACCTACCTCAGCCTCCCAAAGTGCTGGGATTCCAGGCATGATAATAATCTTAATGTTGTTATTTTTATCATTGTCTGGGCAAAGGCCTCAGACATTTGAGGGACTTACAGAAAACAGCATGTTCTTCTTGTCCTGGTTCACAGCTCTGGGGTCTGAGATGGCCTCTGTGTGCTTGGTCACGGACACAGATTCACCTGGTCATGGAATCAGAGATGAGAAGCCCCACATGAAGATACACCCATCCCGTGGCCCCACCCCGTGGTCCCATCCCGTGGCCCCATCCTGTGGTCCCATCCCGTGGTCCCATCCCGTGGTCCCATCCCGTGGTCCCATCCCGTGGTCCCGGTCCACTAGGTCCCGGCCTCCCGGCGGGGGGGCCTCACCCGTCAGGATGGACTGGTCCACTCGCAGCGTGGTGGACTTGATCTCGATGAGGCGGAGATCAGCAGGCACTTTGTCCCCCACTGTGCGGGGAGAATGACTTAGCTGAGAGTGGCTTTGGGCACCACCAGCTGGGAAAAGCCAGAAGGGTTCCCAGGACCCAAGGCTGGGGCTGGGCATCGAGTGCCTGAGCTGTGATCGCTCTGGTGGACCCCTGTCCCTCTGGCCCACAGTCTCATCTGTCCAACAGGGTTTTGGCCAAAGGGCTTTGGAGGGATCTGACGGCCACCCCCTCTGTGCATACAGCCAGAATGATGGTGGCACAGACAGGGATGGGGCTCCCAGGCCCACATAATAAAAGAAGGAGGCCCCTATGGGAGGCTGAGGCAGGAGGATTCCTTGAACCTGGGAGGCGGGAGGTTGCAGTGAACCGAGATTGCGCCACTGCACTCCGGTCTGGGCAACAGAGCAGGACACCATCTCAAAAATAAAATAAAATAAAAATAAAATGAAATAAGAAAAGGAGGCCCCTGGCATACCCGCCACTTCTACAATGTCCCCTGGGACGATGTCCCGGGCACGGATCCTCTGCACGCCCTTGCGGTCCGAGCGGATCACCTTGCCCATCTCAGGCTCATACTCCTTCAGGGCCTCGATGGCACTCTCGGCGTTGCGTTCCTGCAGAACAGAAGGCAGGCAGGCGGTCTGCCCTGCTGCCCCCTGCAGGCCGCCCCCTTGGAGTGACTCCCCTGGGGCCTGGGATGGAGCTAGAAGCAGAACGGTCTGCAGGATGCCAGCACCAGGTGGAGGGCACTCCTAGTGGCTGGGAGACCCCCGGCCCGGTCCCACCCCCAGTGCCTCCCACCTGCCACACGCCCACAATGGCATTGGCCACGAGGATCAGCATGATGACCAGGGGCTCCACGAAGGCGGTCGTGGTCTCCTCGCCCTCCTCGAACCAGGCCAGGACCTGCAAGATCACAGCTGGTGAGCTCAGGCCCTGCTGCTGGCCAAGATCTGCTCTTCTTTTCCTTGGCACCCCGGATCTCCTGTCTGCTCCCCTGCTTTGCGGAGATAGCACTGGGGAGCCCTTGGCTTGGAGAGGGCCACTCCTCTGAGAAGGCCTTGGCATAGGATGCCCACCCCACAGGAGTGACCACCCCACCCAGGACAACCTTCAAGGCTGTGGGGCAGTGGGACAGGTGCCTGCCCAGGCCTTACTGTCCGCCTGGAGCAGAGCATCTCAGTGTAGTCCCCAGAGCAGCAGCAGCAGCGGCTGGGAACTTGTAAGAAATGTGGATCTCAGGGCCTCTCCCAGACCTCCTGAGTCGCAAATTCTGGGGTGGGGCCCAGTCATCTGTGTGTCAGCAAGCCTACGGATTCTTCTGAGACAGAGTCTTGCTCTGTTGCCCAGGCTGGAGTGCAGTGGCTCGATCTTGGCTTACCGCAACCTTCGCTTCCCAGGTTCAAGCAATTCTTGAGCCTCAGCCTCCTGGGTAGATAGGATTATAGGCGTCCACCACTATGCCTGGCTAATCTTTTTATATTTTAGTAGAGACGGGGTTTCACCATGTTGCCCAGGCTGAACTCCTGAGCTCACTCGCCTCGGCCTCCCAAAGTGCTAGGATTACAGGTGTGAGCCACTGCAGCCAGCCAAGCCCAGGTGACTCTGATGCACGAATCCAAAGCCCATTAGGCAGCGAAGTATCACTGGGAATGGAGGAAGAGCAAGGAGAAGCAGCCAAGAGGAGGCTGCAGGAGGTTCAGACCCCAGAGTCCTTGTGGGGAGCACTGGGACCCACGAAAGGGGCTCCGGTAGCAGCACTCAGGCAGGGGCAATGTGCCCCCCAGGGGCATTTGGCAATGTCCGAAGACATTTTTATTTTTTTGAGACAGGGTCTTGCTCTGTTGCACAGGCTGGAATGCAGTGGTGTGATCACGGCTCACTGCAGCTCCGGCCTCCCAGGCCCAAGCGATTCTCCTGCCTCAGCCTCCAGAGTGGCTGGGACTATAGGCCTGCACCACCACACCCGGCTAAATTGTTTTTGTATTTTTTGTAGAGACAGATTCTCCCTAGGTTGCCCAGACTGGTCTCAAACTCCTTGGCTCAAGTGATTTTACTGCCTCGGCATCCCACAGTGCTGGGATTTCAGTCATGAGATGTTAGGTCCGGCTGTCTAAAGACCTTTTTGACGGTCACAGCTGGGAGGTGCTACTGGCATCTGGTAGGTAGGGTCCAGGGATGCTGCTAAACACCCTACAGTGGGAAGCCCCCACCCCACCCCACCCCGACAAAGAATGATCTGGTCTAAACTGTCAGTAGTGCTGAAGGAGAGACAGCCTAGGCTACAGCAGGGCGGGACAGGGGGCGGATGTGAGTTGGAGAGCTCGCTGAGAGCCAGAGGATAAGATGGATTGGAGGGGTCAGGTGGAAGCTGGGGGCCCAGTATAGGGACCATGAGGGTTCAGGCAAGAGAGGCTGAATTCTGAGTAGGGCAGGGCCAGGGAAGGCCAGAGAGCAGGCCCAGGGTGTGGAGAACAGGGCCAGGCTCCAGGGCCTCAGAGCACTGCCCAGCCTGGCTCTCCCTCCAGGGTTACCCACTCCCACAGGATGGCAGGCAGGGCCCCACTTACAAAGGAGACAAGGGCGGCCAGCAGCAGGATGCGCACCAGGAGGTCCTCAAACTGTTCCAGCACCAGCTCCCACAGGGACTTCCCTGGGAACAGGAGTCATGCATGAGGCTGGGCCCCCACCACTGACCCCTCCCACTTGGAGCTAGGATGGCCCCGGAAACCTCCCATTCTCTCCCTGCACTCGGAAAAGGGAGGACCCAGATCCCTGAGAGGCTCAGGCGGGTGATCCTGGGGAGCTCAGCAAGGCCTCACTCAGCGGGGAGCGGGAAGTCACGACCTGACGGTGAAGGACCCAGGGATGCTGCCCCGCGGCCTAGCCTCACCTTCCTCAGTCGGGAGCTCTGCAGGATCCAGGCAGCCACGGGAGCCATGAGGAGACAAAAGAGGAGTGGGTCACGCAGGGGGCCTCGGGGAAATCTGGCAGCGCCTGCCCACCGTGCCCGCCCAGACCCCCCACCACGGACTGGATGTATCCCCCAGGGCTCTGAGGTCACAGGATAAATGGTTTGGGCCCAAATGCGTCCACCCCTCTACCCTCCCCCCACTCAGATTGAGGAAGATCTAGGGTGACTTGGCTCATCTTGGGATGAGATCGGAGCCAAGAGGGTCCTTCCAGCCCCTCCGGTCCAGCCCCTCCCTGCCCCATTTCACAGAGGGGAAACTGAGGCCTAGAAAAGAGACACTTCCCCCACCCAGGTCACACAGAGAGCGGGCTGTTCTCACGGCTCCCCTGCATAGCCCTTCCTTAGATGGCCGCATAGTCCTGTTGAGCATCTCCCACCCCCGCAGCAAGGCAGCCCCTCCCTCAAACGGAGAACACTGGCTCAGGCGTCTTCCGCTCACCAGGCCTCTGACATCCCTGCTCCCCTGCGACCAGCTGGACAAGGTCTGCAGCTGGGCCGGCCTGCTGAGCCCCACCGCACAGCGGGGCTCCCCCTGGACAGGACCCTAGCAGCCAGCACCCTGCAGTTAGGATCCCTCCCACGGTGCAGTCCCCCCAGGCCCTGCACTCCAGGTGAGTTCAGTGAAGACCTCCCAGTCCCACCCCACATACCCCGTTTCCCCCACCCCCCAACACAACATGGTGAAGAACATTGTTTCCAAACTCCAACAGCACCCGCCTCACTTTAGGTGCTTTTTTTTTTGAGACAGAGTCTCGCTCTGTCGTCTAGGCTGGAGCACAGTGGTGCGATCTTGGCTCACTGCAACCCCCACCTCCCAGGTTCAAGCAATTCTCCTGCCTCAGCCTCCCGAGTAGCTGGGATTACAGGCACGCGGCACCACTCCCGGCTGATTTTTGTATTTTTAGTAGAAACGGGGTTTCACTGTGTTGGCCAGGTGGTCTCGAACTCCTACCTTTGTGATCTGCCCACCTTGGCCTCCCAAAGTGCTGGGATGACAGGCGTGAGCCACCACGCCCCAGCCTAGGTGCTGATTTTTATCTCCAACATTTCCCGAAGCACCTTTCTTTTTTTTTTTTTCCGAAGCACCTTTCAAATCAGGCAGAGCTGGGTGCCTCAGGCCCCTGACGTCGTTGAATCATTCCTGCAGCCTAAAGGGGAGGCTGCAGAGAGTTCCAGCCCCTCCACTTCACAGCCTGGGGCTTGAAGGATCACGGTGGAGGCGTGGCTTGAGCAAAGCCACACAATGAGTGAGTGGGTCTGTGTGGGGAAGAGAGGGGCGGGAGCCGGGCTCTGGAGGATGGGCTTGGAGAAGCTCCCCCTTCCCAGGCCACAGTCTAACCGAGCCCTGCCTTCTCTTGTCCCTTGCCACTCATAGGACGTCTCCGGACATCTGCGGCATCTCCCCGAAGCTCGTTAGCCGTGCGGGATCTGAGGCCCCGGCCCCGGCTGGCTCTCTTCCACCTCCTCCTTCCTGACACTGGAAACACGGCCTCGCGTCGCTCCACCTGTTTTTGGCCTGCAGGCATTTCTTTCCTATGGGAGCCCTCTCCCCGGACCACCTGTTTGGAAGCTTTAGGGTCTGCACCTGGCAGCTGAACCCTGGGGAGTATCAAGCAGCCCACTGGACTGCAGGAATCCAGGAGGAAAATATATAGCCTAAAAATACACTTTCTAGCATTTTCTCCAAAGTCCTATTTTCGGCAGTGGCTGACATTTTCCGTGGAAAATGTAATCTCCAGTGTCCTGCGTCGAGATTAAAATCAAACAGACTTTTTCCTTCTGATCTATTTAGCTGAGGCGAACAGGAAAGGCGGGGGGCGGGCCAGGCCTGGTTTCTGGGCCAATTCTCCAATGGAGTAGTGTGCTTTAGAGGACACCCCAGCCATGCCCCAGCCTCAAATCAGGACAGTGCTAACCTCACAGTGTGCACGGGTAGGCTTGTGCCGGGCGCTACCCGGGAGATGCCTGTAACCCTCACCTTTCTTTATTCTGGGCAAGGGCGAGGCCTGGGGTTGGGAAGCGTGTCATGGGGTACACGTGCCAGCTCCGGTCCCTGTACTTCCTCACAGAGGTCCCCACGATGCCTCCTGCCTGCCTCGGCTGGTCCCTCAAGTCCTCCTTTCTCTCTCTCTTTTTTTTTTTTTTTTTTTTGAGACGCAGTCTTGCTTTGTCGCCCAGGCTGGAGTGCAGTGGCGCGATCTTAGCACACTGCAAGCTCTGCCTCCCAGGTTCAATCGATTTTCCTGCCTCAGCCTCCCGGGTAGCTGGAATTACAGGTGCCCGCCACCATGCCCAGCTAATTTTTGTATTTTCAGTAGAGGCGGGGTTTCACCATGTTGGCCAGCCTGGTCTCAAACTCCCGACCTCAGGTGATCCACCCACCTCAGCCTCCCAAAGTGCTGGGATTACAGGTGTGAGCCACAGCAGCTGGCTCAGTTCTCCTTTCTCTACCTGTCGACCTGGGTCATCTCCCCTTCTGCTCTCTGACCCACCCTGACCCAGGACCCACTCTTTGGTGCTCATGATGCTGTTCCCCAAATATTTCTGGTCCTCCCCACCTTGTGGGCATAGTAGGAAGGCACTGCCCGGCCCCCGTGTGACTTTTGAGAAGAAGAATGTGTATTCCTGCCAGGTTGGAGCATTGACTTCTGGTGGGGGGCTTTCTAGGAGGTCACTGTCCAGTAGAATGTCCTGTGATAGCAGAAGTATCCTCCATCTGTGCTGGCCAGGACCGGAGCCACTAGCCACAGGCAGCTGGTGCGCCCCTGGACTGCTGACTAATTTCAAATTTTACTTTAATTTTCATGCATTTAAATGTAAATAGCCAAGCGGTTGGAGCTCTTTGACACTCTCCTACAGCAGCCAGCAGCCTGTGAGATGGTGTCTGCTCCATCGACCGGGGTCACAGAGTGAGGAAGGCACAGAGCCCTCGATGACCAGTCTGCTGCCAGCACTCAGCAGGCGTGAGAAAGGAGCCTCTGGTCCTTCAAGCTGCCGAGATTCCGAGGCGATGGCTGCAGTAACCAAGCTGAACCTGACTGATAAACCCCTCCGCCCAGACCTGGCTTCCTCTGCAAAGCTCCCTCTCAGCCCACCCCGCTGAGGAGGCCTGACCTGCCCCTGAGCACAGCTCTGGTCCTGCCCACACAGCCGGCTCCTTGTGGGGCCTTGAGCCTCATTTGGGAGGTGAGGTACACACACCCACCTTGAAGGCCTGCTGTGATGATGATCATCATCATTACTATTAACAGCCACATTTACCAAGCACCTGCCAAGCAATGCCCCAGGTGCCTTCCCGCATTATCTGCAGAGAACAAATGGGAAGACGCTGGGGACCGAGCTAAGCACGTGAGGTGCTTAGCAGAGGTCATAGCAGCAGCAGCTGGTGGTGTGCGCCAGACGCGCTGCCAATTCCCTGTGTGCCTTATTCTCATGATCCTCAAACAAGCTGGGAAGGAAGATGCCATTGTTATACCCATTTTACAGAGTACACAACAGAGAGGTTGAGTGACTAGTTCTCTGTCACACAGCGGGGGAGGCCGGGAAGGGTTTTGAGCTCAGGCAGTCTGGCTCTCGATGCCCTGCTGTGGGCCTCCTGCGCTAATTCTTAGGCTGTCCTGGCTTCCCTCCTCCACGCTCTTTACCACCCACCCAAGGTCATCTGAAAACCCTGGTGTCCCATGTCCTGGTTGCTGGGCTGGATGTCCTCATCCCACCAGTCGGTGTGCCCCTCTGTAGAGAACCCAGGACTTTTGGACAAATCCTCCTGTCCAAAAGGCGCTGCTGGCCTCCCTCATGGGGTTTTAGGGGCCTGCGAGGCTCTGCCTGCTCCGGCCTGGTCTGCTTCTAAATTCAACCCTGAAGGACCCAATTCTCCAGTCGCATGAGTGAGCCCCAGGGTGATGGAGGGAGCCCAGGGCTGGGAGATGCTGGCTCCTTCCTTGCTCTCTCCAAGGCTGCATGTTGGGGTCTGAGACAGTTCCCCTTGAAATGGCGGCCTTGGGCCTCTCGCAGTGCCAGATGTCCCATCTGTTAAATGAGAGAGTGCCCTGGCTCTGCCCACTCTCACGGCCATCCGCTGGGCTGCAGGGGGCAGAGACAGGACTGGGGGGGTGCCGCTCCCTCTGAGAGCCACAGTGGGGCTGGCCACTATTCTCATCTGAGCCTCTGCCACGGTGACCCCTGCCTGGCCCATGTTGCCCAACTGAGAGGGCCTGTGTTCATGGAGGCCCAGCGTGCAGGCCTGGGAGTCAGCCTGCGGTCCTGGGACAAAAGGGAGGTGAAAAGAGAAGCTTTGTGGCTTAGATCAAGGAATCTGGTCCAGAGGGCTCAAGTTCAAATCCTGCTCTATCTCACAGTACTTCTGTGGCCACAGGCCAGTTACCTCATCCCCTGTGTCTGTTTCTCCATCTGCAAAAAGAGGGTGATAATGGTAAGTACCTCACAAGGA